AATAGTGTGAGCCTAGAAGTACGGGCGGAGCTTTCGGGATGCAATTACCAGTGCGTAAGCTAGCTTTTCTATCTCTGGGTATCTCGTCTTTGTTCCCTGCAATACTTTACTAACATAATAGATGGGTCGCTGAACCCGATCTACTTCTTTTATTAGTACCGAACTGACCACTTCATCGCTCGCTGAGAGGTACAGTTCCAAAATATCACCCTCCTCGGGCCGGGTTAAGATCGGCACACTAGCGAGGTATTTCTTGAGCTCGTCAAACGCGACCTGACAGTCTTGGGTCCATTCGAACCCTTTGCTTTTGATTGCCTTAAAGAACGGCAGGCAACAGTCCGCCGATTTGGACATGAAGCAGCTCAGGGCGGCTATGCGGCCATTCAACCTCTGAACCTCCTTCAACTTCCGGGGTGGTCCCATATCTAAGATGGCCTTAATTTTGTCCGAGTTGGCCTCAATGCCGCGCCGGTTAACGATGTATCCTAGGAACTTGCCCGAGGTCACACCGAATACACACTTATTTGGGTTCAGTCTCATATTAAACTTACACAAAATTTCAAAAACAGAATGCAGATCTTGTATTAATTCATGTGAGAATTGAGTTTTGACGACCATATCGTCTACATAGCATTCTACTTTTCTGCCAATTAGTGGCACAAACAACTTATTTACAAGCCTTTGAAAGGTTGCCCCTGTGTTTTTCAACCCGAAGGGCATAACCTTGTAACAGTATAGACCGAACTCCGTGACGAAGGCAGTCTTTCTTCATCCGCCGGGTCCATCCTGATTTGGTTATAGCCCGAATAGGCATCCAAGAAACTTAGCAACTCGTGCCCTGAGGTCGCGTCCACTAAGCGATCAATTCTGGGGAGCGGGAAGCAGTCTTTTGTACAGGCCCGGTTTAGGTCGGTGTAATCGACGCACATGCGCCACTTGCCGTTGGCCTTCTTCACTAGGACGGGGTTGGCTACCCAACTAGGGTAGTGGACTCACATCCTCTTCAGAGCTGAAATCACAGAAGGAAGAATTAAGCAACCCTGCAGAATTCTTTCTTGCCGCCTCCTTGTTCTTGCCGCCCAGTTTGCCAGTTCGATCTCCAGTTGTGGGAGAAGCCAAGATTCGATCTTGACATCAGTTCTTTCTAAAAGGATTTATAGGAAGCTGTGCTCACG